GTACAGGGGGGTACATGCAGGAGTCTAATGTAATGTACAGGGGGGTACATGCAGGAGACTCCAAACTCCTTTTTGCTGGCTGCGGTGGCGACATGTCTGTCATACTACCATTCTGCTGCTGCAGCTGGCTCTGCATGGGAGCCTGCATCTGTGTCTGCACCGGAGGGGGCGGGGCTGGGGCCGGGGGCGGGGCCGGCTCGGGCTGCTGATGGCCTGGCCGGGCTCGGGTGGACCCCACTGCAGAGAGGGGAGCAGAACCAGGTCAGAGTCCAGGATGTGACTGTGAGCTCATGGCAAAGATATCACAATTACTACAAAAAAAAAAAAAAAGAGAGAGAAAAGAATAATGTGATTAAGCTCCTCGATTTAAGGGTGAATCTCAATACCAAGAACGCAAAATCTGTACTTGTGTACTTGCAAAACCGCTCTTGCTAACTTGCCTCCCAAGAACGAACTTGGGGTGCAATGAATCATGGGATTGGTCTCCTTCGGCGAGGATGCAACCGATCTATCATAGATATTTGGGGCGGAGCAAGACCAACATCTGGGGATTTTTACCATTCTCTGTACTTGCGTTCTTAGTTTTGGAACTGGTCTTTATACCTGAACATAAAGGCTGCTTTGTGACGGAAAGGACGCGGCAGGTTGTTCATTTTGAGGACTTTAATGTTTTTAATGTATGATATATGGTTTTTAATGTGTGACCCTGGACACGATGGTGTCAGTGGCCAAGAGAGGGTGATGGCGAAAGGATGGTCCATCATGAACGGGTTTGCCCATCACTTCATAGCACATATGCACAGCGACATTAGCCATCAGCTCATCCCACCACAATGTGCCAAGAAACTCTACTGGGGCACCTTACAACCAGTAGCCATAGGGGTGTATAATACCTGTATCCAAGGGGCCCACAGTCATTCCTGTCAAGTGCAACTGTACAGTATTCTCAGAGTCAGTGCTCACAAACAGTGACCAGGCAGGTACCGCCATGCATACAATATCAGCAGGCTTACTTATCATTTGAAGTATTGAGGTCTGTTTGTTCTGCTGTCTTACATTCATGCACATAGTGTCTTATGCACCACGGTGGTGTCAGAATTTCCCACATAGGATCATGTCTGTCTTTGTGAAACTACACAAATTGGCAGCAATGAGACCACAATTAATATTAGGCCAGAATGAAGGACAAAAGATTGAAGTGAAGTACAAAATGCTCAGTACAAAATGTGCTTAAGTCTTCCACCATGATATCAGCAGAAACAGCATAGCATTCAATTATGTATCCACTCTGCACTAAAGCACTCTTACAAGAAACACTGTTTGTAGCATTATAATAAACTTAATCAATCATTAAGGTCTGCAAAACACAGTACATATAAGACATATTGATGCATTAAACTAGACTATTCTTTGTACCCAGCCATGCCACATACACTTCATTTGACAGCATAACCGATCCATTTATGGGCCGCTTAGGTGGTTGGTCAGACAATATCAAATACGTTTTTAGTTCAAAATCTAGTCACTAGATCTTGAACTAGATCCACTGAGACAGATAATTGACAAAAGTGGGATACAAGACAGAGCTGCGATGTTATGCAGGCTGAGATTGCATGGTTGCACATTGGTCGGTTTTCGTTGTAGTACTGCTACAGCCTCTGAACCCACCGGCATTGTGTGGTAGGCAATTGCCAGTTAACTGTCCTTATTATAATAGTGTTAAGTAGGGCTGCACTGAGATTCTCTTGTTAACTCTTAAATGCTAGTCATGGATGTAACTGCAACCGGTCATGTTAAATTATTGCCATATCGCCCACCACTATTGCAAACACACAAGTATATGCAAATCAGGTGGAAACACATCTTACCTCGGTTATCCCTGGAAGGCGTTTCATTCTTAGAAGGTGCTATAGTTCGTCGGTTCTACAGAGAAAATGAGGTACAACACCAAAGATTTTAGCCTGTTCATAACTAGAATTCAAATCACTGTCTTGTTTTTCAGTCAAATGCCAGCTAATAAATGTCTTTGAAGCGCATGCCAACTCCCCGACGCTGGCTGGGCTAGGCGAGAGCCACACATTTCCACGATATGCTTCATAAAATGGCTTAGGTACAAACCTTGGGGATCTTGTTCACTTTGACCGAAGCCTGAGAGGGTGGGGGAGTGGTTTCGGGGCTCGGGGCAATGTCTTCACCGGCTGCCAAATCGGGATTCAGTGCAAAAATACTCTCCAAGTCAATCTGTGTTGCATAAAAAAGTATTGGGGTGTCAGAGATAACTCTTGGATATTTTTGTCAAGTCATTTAAAGCATACAGCAGAACTACAAATAAAATTGTCAAATCCGTTTATGCACATGACCTCAGGACCAGGACGTAGAGTATATTTCTAACTGTGTACATGAAGTGCCCATTAGTTACAGGAGTGCAGTGCATACTCTAACCCAGGGGTCACCAACATGGTGCCCGCGGGCACCAGGATGCCCCCAAAGATCACATGAGTCGCCTGTGGACCTGTTCTAAAAACTCTCCAGTGAGCAGCATCTAAAATTTAATTTTATCCTGTTGCTATTCTTCTTTAATCACATTTGCATTTATATAGATTTGAAAATGACAATATCTAGAAAAAAAGCATTTAAAACATGTTTATTATACATGAAGTTTAGATAAGTTTAGGACCTAAACTTAAACTGGTATTTTTTTGTGGTTACCGCTGTTAACTAAGGCTGAGTATTGGCAAGAATATGCTGATACGATACGCATCATGATACAGGTTATGGTTCCATATATTGTGAAATTGCAAGTAAGGCAATATATTGCAATTTAAAAAAAATCTAATACAGTGGTACCTCGGTTCTCGAACTCACTAGAACTCCAATTTCTTGAAAGTCGAACAAACCAGTTTGACCTAGAACTTGATCTGAATATCAGAAGTCGAACCGTGAACGCTGACCTAATATAAATTGTACGCGCCAGGAAATGAGTCATACTACAATGCAATTCTTACTTGAATGCCTTCTTCACAGACTGGACGATTAACCAAATAAAGCAGCGCAACATTACAGTAACTAACAACAAATAAACCATTAACTTACGTGTACTATTAGACTCATTTATTTAAACTTTATTTTACCAGGTAAATTAACTGAAAACCAGTACTGACTGCTTTACGTGATATTCGGGAGAAATAGCAGATTGCGTATCGGAACTGCCTGAGATACAAACGTCATGCGTGTAACTAAACTCTTCAGCCAATAAGAGCAAAGGTGTGTTGTCACGGAGGCGGTTCCAGTTTGTGCAGCCGGGTGAGAGGTCGCAATGCATCTAACTGTAATGCATTGTGTCAGGATCAGAATGCGTTGCTTTAAGTCAGTGCTGTAAGCAAGTCGAACGCACCCAATGACTGGACTGGGGAAACAAACCGAAACGCGGACTTAATACAGAGGACTAATGACAACAACCAGAAACAGCTGATCACACGGGAATTCCACACGGGGTTAACGAGGGGGCGTGGCACACGGAAGGAGCGGATGATCGGGGCAGCACAGGGGTAACGTTGGGATAAGATCTTTATCGTTTTGGAAGCCATTAAGAAAAAAATGCTCTTCTTGTTTTATCCTGTACATGTTGTGTTTAAATGCTGAAAAAAAAAAAAAAAAAAAAAAACCATTTAGGTGTAATTTTGGGGAGCCGGGAACCAATTAATTGGCTTTCCATTATTTCTTATGGGAAAAATTCCATCAGAACTCGAACTTTTTAGGATTCGATCCGGAGTCCGGAACGGATTAAGTTCGAGAACCGAGGTACCACTGTAATAGGAATACTTGCATATTATAAAGAACACAGTACCATATGAGTAATATCTGACTGAACGGCATGGCTCTTGTCAATCTCCTTAGTGTCGTCTTTAGAGAGGAAGGCAAAAGGAGCCCACACTCGCCGCGGGAGCCAGATGCAACTCTAAGATTCAACTTTTTCTTCAGTTTTTCTTTGTATAATCAGAACAGTGGGATCTGCATTTGCATTTATAACAGTCCCTGTAACATCCAACATCATAGCACTGCATTGCGGAATTTCAGCAAATGGAATAAACGTTAAGATCAGCCCACACTTCAGCTCCGTACCCTTTGGGGGCCGGTTTAGGATTCAGCCATCAGTACTAAGGAGGGCTGTGTATCGCCAGGCCTTGGGCAAGACAAACCATACCGTGATACAATACAGCAATAAACGAAGCCGTCTGTGAGACATGAAAAAGAAAAACTTGCACGTTATGATTAACTTATTTATGAAATTCAGAATTACCAATGGTTCAAATATGTAAAAATAGAAGACTGAATATTGGTTTTATTCACAGTTTTAATTTGGAAGTGTCACGTTTAGCTTATTAGCAGCTTACAGTTGCATTACCACACTACTGGTGCCCTTATCATGCTTTAATATTAGTTTAAAGTTTGTGGTTCCTCCATTATATTTAAGCTCCGTAATGTTTAGAAAACACCAACGGACTCATCTTTTGCAGAAAACCCAAAATATTTCCATACTTTGGACATGTACTTAGCAGGGGCATTTTGGAAAAGTTTCATTGACTTCATAGCTTACAGATGGCAATCGAGTGTCACAAGTGTATTATCTATATGCAGCAGATCATGAGGGCCTAGTTCCGAAACACAAGAAACACCAGATAAATATATTAAATGAAAACTAATAACATTAAGATTTCGAGGAGAGCTCAATTAATCCATATCATTAAAGTTGTTTGACAGTAGAAATGCATGAAGAGTTACCATTTTTGAAATAACTGATGGTGAGATTCGGATTACATAGAACTAGTTAGCAGTGCAACAAATTATCTCTGCAACAAGAGAGCTGGCTATAATAGTTGGTGAAAAATAAAGCAAGGTCAATAAAAATTATATCTGTGGTACAAAAGTATAAACATCAGGTAACCAATATAAGTATTGAAGTCTTACTACTGAACACAGTAATAAAATTCACAAAAATACAAGTATAGCAACCCAGACTGAACGACTTATTAGTATTTAAATAAATCCATGCATATTTATTGATTACTTAATCTCCTATATTAATTTCATTTAAAAAAAAAAAAACGTAATGAATGATTTATCGATTTCAAATCCAAGTTGCAATTTGAAAATGCAATTGGCAAATCGCAAAGGCTGTATGCATAATACGCATTACATGCATAATACATCGTGTCTGACACAGGGTTTTTAAAAATATGTATATGCTGCGTCACTAAAGACCCAAGGTAAGTACACAAGGGTAAAAAAAAAAATCATAAATACATGCTGGAAGCAGTACACATGGTAAGGATCTCATCCTTGCATTACAATATAGACCAGTTAATATTTTGATAGTATCTCATGTGGTAATACTATGTTACATGTTTTAAATCTATTACACATACTAAATATTGAACTGAAGCTTCACTTTTAAAAAATTATATTGCAAATGAAATCCCAATCGCAATACCTGCCTGAAAAATCGCATTCCATATTTTTCCTTTATCGTTCAACCCTACTTAACGTTACATAAAATACCAAGTCTCAGACATACTTGGAATAAGAATAGATGATATGAATAATGACAAGGTAAATGGAATACATGAACACTGCATTAGGTTCACAAACTTTGCAATATGTTATGTTTTATTTATTTATTTTTCTTTGGGGTGGGGGCAATATTTGTGCTTGAATTTTAAAAATGGGCTAGCAAACTCCCAAGAGTTCGGATGTTCGTTACAACCCTAATGGTAACATAACTAGTCAGCTACGTTTGCTAATGCTAACATTAGTGCTGTGCCCTTAGATTACATCCTGTCTCAGGTAAGATTAAATAAGACGAGAAATCTTAATCGTCACTGTACAAATGCAATGAGATGTCGTTTGGAGCAAGCCTGTAGATGCCAAGTTAAAGATAAAGCTATAATATAATATAGATTATAAGTACAGGTAATTATAAGGACCAGATTGGGAAACACTGCTCTAGTGTATCAGTATATTCTTGCATCACTACTGTTAACAAGGTGATGTACAGCAAAAACAGTGCATAGCAGAGTGTTCCAGAACATGGGGTCCTGACCTGAAGGTTTAAGTCCTACAAGGAGTGTGTGTGTTTATTTTTGTTTGGGGGGGGGGGGGGGGTTCGGTGGGTTTTTCTCTGGGAAGTCCAGTGTGTGTGTCCTGTAAAACTGTCATCTAGTACTGGTACCATAATTTGTTACTGTTCATGCTTGTTCCAGCAGATAAACTCAACATCAGTAATTTGATCCTTACGTATTATGTGAAAAGATTCAGTAAGGAATATATATATATTTAAATGAATTCCTGTTGGGTAATAGAGTGAAAATAAATGCAAATGAGGTCAGATAACTATACAGAATTATATATTACAGCTAACACATCACAAGTTGCTGAATCAACAGGATTTTCTCCAGTTCTAGTACTTAATGTCATTCTTAATAATGGGGCACTTACTGCACATTCCAGGTGTGATTTCTCAAATTAGTAATGGTGTAACAGTTCTGAAACAGACACCGCAACCACGATACAAACATTCATGATGTCATGCTGTGGCTATGGAAGATTTTTGGAACAGTTTGTTTAAAATTGCTAAACACTAAACATGTTAAGGGGTGTATTATTTCACCAAAATAAAAATTCACCTAAATCTACACAACTTTAACATCTTGCAGTGTCCTCTTAAATTACGGATGTGTTCTTACCCTATCTCTAGTTAACCTACACATTGTGCTTTTTTGTTAACGCAGAAACAATAAAGAGGAAAAAAAAGGGACCACAAACGTTATGGATAGATAAAACTGTAGAATTACAGCATTACAAAAGCATGACATCACTGGAGCAGGAATACAGGTACCTGAATAGTGACAAGGCAGCCACAAATACAATGGGCTCCACTGTACAAACTGCAGCATCTAAAGGTATGCAGTGAGGGCTATTGTACCTGAGTGCACAGAGTAAACACCGAAATGCATTCCAGGTGTCAATGCTTGTAAATTAAAGAGCACAGAGTGGGGAGGGGTGTCCAGAACAAACCTCTTGATAAAGGGCACAAGGCTATGACCAACATGCATAATTATACATTAAACAGTATGCTGCACTGAGACGTGGGGCAGCAACAGACCAGCCCTCATGCAGACCCACAGCGGACAGTTACCTCTTTCCCTTTGGTGTCTCCATTTTCAATCCACTCCACCGTGACACTTTCATTGTCTTCATTAAGAGACGTGACCATTGCCTGATGGATTCGCCCTGGAAAAGGCAGATGAACTGTTGAGGAGGACATGGCACACAAACAGCCTAATAGGACACTTCTCTTATATGTCTGTACCTATAACCGCACTGTAAAAGTCAGTTGGACCGAAGGAATGGTGTCAAACCAAAGGATCACACCCCTGAGTAACACACAGGACTGTCACGATAATCACGTTATCGACTTCACACTATATATGGAAATTGCCACGATTATTTATTCTGACCTCAATATTGGCAAACTGTGTGTGTATATGTGCTTGTTTACAGAGGAATGAATGCGACCAACAATTTAGCCAGTCGCCCTCTCGTCTGCTCTCTGTGTAGAAGGCGTGGCTCAAGGCTTATTCATACATCATGTGAAAGCATGTGTGCCGCAGTACAATTTGCCACAAACTGCACTGTTATAGGATCTTCTCTCACTTAAACAAGTATCAAAATAAAGTGCAGTAGAAATTCGGGAAAAATAAATTGTGTCCATTATCTTAGGTATATCTTAGTACTGGAAGACCCGTTTTTAAACATGTACATTTGTAACGTGTTGACATCATAAAAATGCACATCTACACGGGTTTTTTTTTTAAACGTACATTTTAAGGCTGCCTAATTTTTTACCATGTCTAGAGGGTGAAAAATGCCCTGTGGAGAGATTCTGGAGCGCGCGTTTCTGATCTGAAGGGAAAGATGGATACACATACACACCCACACGCATGTGGACGTAACACATGGTTTACACCCCGACGGCGTTCCGCGCAATTTCTCCTCCATTGAGCTTGGAAACTGTTTGGTGAGAACAAACGTTTAGACGCTTATGTTCTGTGGAACTGTCCCTAGCGGAGCATCTCTACGTTCCGACTCATTGCCTCCTAACCGCATCATAGCTCATTACTATAAACTTGACCAGGCTTCAACTTCATTTCGACTCTCTCGCCACCCAAACCTCAAGATGTCACGCTGCTCCTCGCCGCTAGGTGACACGCCCTCCCAAAGAGAATGAATGTAGGGCTGCACTAATGACTATTTTTCTATTGATTAATCTATCGACTATTGTATTTATTGGTTGATGAATCTAAACGATTAATTTTCCTCTAGACAATCAACTTGACCATTAAATTTAAGTTAATTTTATTTTGACAACATGCTGTATGCCGTTACAGGGCTTTAGATAATGTAGGCCAGCTTTTCAGTTACCATTTCACCCACAATTCAATCAGCAGATTAGTAGAATGACTGCAAATAATAAGATACATATTGTGATGCCCAGAAGTTAGTAATCTGTATAAATTTGATGCATCCTCATGCATAATAAATACAGTTTGTGCAGCACGCCATATGCAGCACTGAAGTCACGATGAAGGAAGGGTCAGATCAACAGTCTTAAGTGGAGATACCTTAACAAGGTAAAAAGATGGTGGTGTGGCAGTACTTTTGCAGATTAAAGTCTGACACCTTTTTTGTAAATATGGTTTTCATTTTTATTTCAGTTCACAAATTATTTCCTTTTATTTAGTGTCCGTTTTCAATTCAGTTTTAGTCCCAACAAGTCCAGTGCACACAAACGCACACACTGGCACCGCCAATCAACGTAGAATGAATGACTTCTGATCACAGCGTGTGGCTGTGAGGCTACTGCCTGAGACCATCAGCCTCCGGTCCAGGCCGAGCACGCTGAACATTGGCCGAGTCCAGTCCCTGACTGGTTGATTGTCGCATCTCTAACAAAAACATTTCCATAAACATTGAATATGAAAATAAAATTATATGAACTAAACGGGAGTTATAAAAATTACTTCTGAAACCAACTGAAATTTAAAAAAAAAAAGAAAAACATCAAATACTTGATGTTAAACACTGTGGTATCACTATTTTCACTATAGTTTGGAGTAAATTACTGATTTTTGGAGTCACATTCCCCTAACCGTATTTTTCCCTTGATTTCAATGAGCCCAAGGCTATACAGGAACACATTAGTCGCGTTATAGCAGGACTGACTGTATATGGCATTATAGTACAAATATATTTTATTTTAGTCTGTAGCCACCCAGGAGTCTTTATAATCCTGTAGAGAGGAATCAAATGCTGGTATTTCCAGACTCTCAGTCAACCATTTTTCAAATCCATTAACCACTTTTGTTACCATTCTGATCAGGTGTTTACATACAATCTTTGGTTCGACTTCTACTTTTCCCCTGGCCAATGAATGATCACAGTTTATTCGCTGCACTTTATAGAGCCTCCACGCTACAATAATTTTTGAGTGTTTTGAGAAAAGAAGTTCAGAGATGAAACAGTACTTAGATGTAAAATTACACAAGTACTTTTGATTTATGTACTTACAGTCAATATGTTGTTACTTTTTGTTAAGAAAGGTCATATCCATTGGAATATGGCATCAGGAAATTTACTTTCGAAATTACAATTTCAATGTCTGCGTATTTCTAAAAATTATAAGTTCATTGGTCATTGTTCATTATTATTATTACTATCAGTGGCATAAAATGGGCTTAAAATTACAATAATATCATTTACCTCAATTTTTTTTGGGACAATATATCGTTCAACAAAATGCGTTATTCAGACACACACCATAACGATGTATTGGTTAACATTAATTGGTTCATTAAAAAAAAAAATCAATACACTGGCACTGGTCAAATGCCTCAATCTTGGTTGATATCGTCAGCCAATATTTAGACTTTAGTCAATATACAGATTTAGCAACAAAAGAGCTGAAGACAAGTACTAAAATAATGGAAATGACTGGCCAATGCAATCAGTAATTTTTTTGTAGTGGAGGAGGGATTTCACCCACACATTCACCACTTAGAACTGTGCTACAGTCTCTCAAGTCAGCCAAACGTTGGCGACGCCTCAGCCTAGCCTGGCTGGCACCGACCTGGTGAACGAACATGTCGTTTCTTTGCTCACTTTCTTTAATCGTGTTAATTTTCATAAGCAATGGGAGAACATTATGAGCAAAAGCTTTTAACAGAATTCAATTTATGTACTGAATATGCTCTTATATACCATAAAATCTTTACTCACTGATATCACAACATGACTGCATTTATGCCACCCATGATTGCCTAATGGGTTGACCAGTCATGCTGCCTACATTATATGACAGGGTTGCTAAGCACATTCACAAGATATGAAGTAAAATCACTGACAGTTTCTCTTGAGATTTGCAGAGGCTAGCCATTTATTGATATCTGTAATATCAGACAAAAAAGATATGTCACCAGTACTGGCCAAAATATCCACATTGGTGCACCACTAACCCTAACCCTAACCCCGAAACAATCAAAACAGGTCTTCAAGTACAGATATAGCTTTTCTAGTTTTGATTTCAATGTCACATGGTACACAAAGGCTGAAGCTGTAATGAAAAGCCTGAAAGAAGCAGAAAAGACACACACACACACACACACACACGTGTACGCACACACAAGCATGCTGAAACACAGTGATACCCTCATATCCTCATGAGACTCTGGATTTCAGCAACCGCAGCTGAAACTGCACACTGGAGCCAATACTGTGCTGCATGTGGACACAAACACTATAGTGGCTGCATGTTTCAGTCCATCCCAAATACATCAAGCGGTCAGCAAGGTGGACGAAATTCTTATCACACCTGGGAAAATAAGTATTTTTACAGGCAGATATAGGGACAAATTAAATTAAAAATCCCATCACATCATATTACCCTTTGTAAATCATTTTTATCCCCCCCCCTTTAGTTGTTTTCTGCAGCAAACCTTATTTATAGACATTGCAGACTTTATGAGATGGATGACAACATTGTCTTATATACACCAAAAACACAGCTGGTTGCTCTTTTGTTATTACTGAAGAGAACAAACCAAAAACCACAAGGACAACCAACCATACACAATAACCATATATAATAAGTTAAAATTATTACCTACATATATTGAATCTTTCAAACTATTAATCATTAAACAAGATCTCCAGAGACAGCTTCCTTGAAAGAATGATGTTCTAACGCTGGAGATGTAGTTTGATTAGAATTAATTTAAGTGTACACATGTGCTGCCTTTATACACAGCTCTACTTTGAATGCATACTATCTGAAACTATTTGCACCATGAACCCCTTAAATAAAATTGAGTACTCAGTATAACTGGACTCAATATTCAATTAGGAATCCAATTACGGGGCCCTCTGAGCCTTGGGTCTGCCAGCATCCTTAGTCCCTTGGCTATTTTTATTCAAATAATGGCTCCACTATTAATTAAATCCTTATATAAAACACCAGATATTAATGTAATAAATCAGTGTTAAATTGTCACATTTAAATTTGAGAAATATTCTTTATTTTAACTAATTTTAGACAACTCCAGAGGCTATTAATAAACTAGCAAGTTGTCGCCCAAAAAGTCAATGAAACGCTGCTGCGGATCAGAAAAATGTAAATGAATAGCAAATCAAAAAGTTCTTGTGTGTGAAATATGAATGCGGTAACTGATATAACTGGAAGTGATGCAAGCTCAGTCTATCTCCTGCTAGGCAATAGTGGCAACCTGGCATTACTCATCAACGTTGTAAAGCGTTCATAGCCATCAATGGGAGTGAAATCGAGTAGTACACCTTGATACTGTCACATGCCAGAGAAGAGCAGTTTTACCTCAGACCCTACAGTCTGCCTTGATCAATACAACTGTCAATGTCTGTCAGTTCTACACCTGAAAAGCTAGAAAACTGTCATTGTCAGGCTGTAGTCTGTGTATTGGGATTAGGTCTCATTCACTAACAGAACTACAGAAGGCCTTTTGTTCAAGAATGGGCTCAAAATCACCTACTTAAGCTGCAAGCCTGTCTGCAGGTCCTAAATGATTTTATCTAACGTGTCACATTTTAATTCAGTGAGTGGCTCACAGAAAACTACTCTGCTTGTTTACACAAACAGTTGAAATATAAAGTTATATATTAATAAATATGGAATGAAAATTCATTTTCCTGCTAACGCTCTGTTC